AAAAAAAGGAATATTCCTACTAGAATCTTGTCTAATGTTAGGAGACTTGAGAGTCTTCTAGAAGGTGATGAATAGTAGGAGAGTTCCATCCTAGGTTGGATTAGTAATTGGAGTAGAATTAGGATTCCTTGGCCTAATGGGATAAGCCCATATTTAGCACCTCCTTAAGATCTCTAATGAAGCTTATAAATACACCATGTCCCAACCTCTTCTACAATGTTGAGCTGGCTAAATTTCTCCTACATACACGAGAGAAAGAGCTTTGTTCCAGAGTTAGGGAGATTCGATTAATCGCTCCACCAATATTAATCGAAGTAGGTGTTTAGGTAATCCATTAGAAGGCTTTTGGGTACAATTTATTCGAAAGTCTTCCACATATATTTTTTCGGTCATCTTCTTCAGCCACGAGCCGCCGCCCGCCGCCGAGAGGATCGCCGGAAATCGCCGCCGCTGGAAGTCACCCAGCCGATCGCATCCGCAAGCTACTGCTCGCAGTCACGCCTAGCCAGGCCCAACGCTAGCTCCCAGCAACGACCGCAAGCAACGCCCACGAGCCCCGATTCCACCTGTCTGCTCGTTATCCGCATCATTGAAATTCCCAGTGCACGAGGAGTACGCGTGCATCGTTCGCCCGCGCCCAGTTGCCTTGCCGCGCATGCCCCCGTGAAGTCAGATGCCAGCGCTTGTCTGCCTCGGCATAGGAGCGCTGCCCCGGGTGCACGCACACGCCCAGCGACCGCCATCGTCCGTCTGCGTAGTCCAGCTGCCCGCGCGTCACGCCCAACGCCCGACGCGCACCTGCTGCCGACCGCGACCAGCGTCCGTTACCAGCCTGCTGCACCCGACTCCGAGACACGACCACCATGTGACCGAGCTTCGTTGGAACTTTCGATTAGAATAGAATAAAGGCCAAATCTATCTGCCCATTACATTGTGGTGTTCAGACGAACTACATCAACGGTATTCTACATCGTCTCTGAGTCGGCAAAAATTTTAAAAGGTAATGCCCATATCCAAACTATAGATTCCGCTGCGTTAGGATTTATTTCGATAAGTTCAATACTGTGCATGTTGTTTGACGTTCCTTATAGAACCCAACAACTGGTATCAGAGCCCAGGTTTAATTCAACCTCGTGCACAATTTGAATTTGGACTTTGTCTGTTTACATGAATTATGTGTGTAACACCCCGAGTTTTATTAATAAAGGAAAATACTAGCTTTTAATTTTAAGCTAGCCTTTGTTAATAAATAATCATGTTCATGTTCAAGTTCAGGTTAATCAGTTAATTATATTCCAAGTCCGACTATTAGTCGATAAATTATTCGGTTAATTATTTCAGTAACCAGATAAATTTCCAGATTTAATTCCAATTCGTTTTCCTTATTTAAGGAGTTCAGAATTAATAAGTTAAGTTGACGAATTGTTCGAAATATTAATATTCGGATTAATCGTCCAAGTCAAGAATCCGAAATTATTATTGTTCGAATTAATAAATTTCAGTCGAGATTATCTGAAACTATTTTCGACGTCACGTTTACGTTCAGAATAATTTCGGAAATTAAGTGTCATGCTTAGTAATTAATTAAGCATAAAGATTATGCTTAATTATTAATAATCATGCTTAGATAATCAATGTCGTACGCATTTTTGGAAGAATTCACTAAAATTCTCTAAATTGTCGTGAGCAATTAGATGGGAAATTTATCTTCAAAATGTTCAAGCTTGAGGTGGCTTAGTTATAGCCATTTAAGTGGTGAATCACCTCTTAAGACATTAATTAGATTACAAGTGGCATTAAAAGGTTAAGCCATCAAATAATCCTCACCTCTTCATGCATTTGTACGGTCTATATATAAAGCCTTGGATGGGGGGAACAATTTGATCTTTCACACCCTATTATATATGTATTAAGTATAGAGAGTTTCCCTTAGTTCATTGAGTACGCGCGAGAGTACCGTACACGGCATAGTACATACGCACGGTGAAGCACGCACACACGCACGAAGGCGCGAACTCCGAGTGATCGCAAGTAGCTGATGCGATTCGCCGAGCGTTCCAGAAGTAACTTCGATTTACCTTTGATTGATCATGTTAAAGTCATGTTAGCTCAGCTTTGCCTTAGTTATATTCATGATACGGCTTTAAATTACGTTCGGCCGGGCGTATAACCTATGTCAAGTCATGTTCATGTTTTGATTCAGAATCTCTCGAGCAATTTTAATATGTTCAGCCAGTATATGCTATTTTAAACTGGCCAAAGGGCGTGGTCGCGCACGTAGCGCGCACCACGGGCCGTGCATGATTAGCGATCACGTTAAGTGGTAGTCTTTCGAGCAATTCATGTCAATTTGTTCAGTAAACAGTATTTCATGTTCAGTTATGTGTTAGTTGTCGAAAGAAAATCACGTTTGGTCGAGAAGCGGCCTAACGCCGTAGGCGGCGCACGGCGCGCACGCCACCGGCCACTTTAGCATGTTATGCAAAATTCATGATTTTGAGTATTTTCAGCAAGTTTGATCAGGTCAAATCAATTCTTGCT